AGGACAGAAGGAAAAATGGATGGGGCAAAATACAGTCAAATTCTTGAGGAAAATCTGCTGCCCTCTGCCTGAAAGTTGTCAATGGGAAGAAAGTTTACCTTCCAACAATGATCCAAAGCACACAGCAAAACTGAGCACACGGTGATTGAAGGAGAAAAAGCTGAATGTTCTTGCATGGTCTAGTCAGAGCCCAGACTTAGACTCCTCTGAAAATCTGTGGAATGACTTGAAGACGGCAGTCCACAAACACTCACCATCAAATTGAACTGAACTTGAGCAGTTCTGCAAAGAAGAGTGGGCAACCTTTTTACAACTCAGTGATTCTGGTTTGTTTTTGGTTTTTTTCTGACATGTTGGTGTTATATCTTTCACTTGGATGTTATAAGCTGCACTGAGTAAATACAGCTGGATAAAACAAAAACTGTGTCTGTCTTCATTTCAGACTGCAAAGCAACAAAATGTGATTATTTTAAAGGGGGGCGATTATTTTCTATACCCACTGTACACATAAAGCTGATATACAAACGTAAGATTCTCTTCAGTCTGAGTTAAGCTTTTTGATAGGCTAATAAATTGGTGCTTCTAGTGCTCCAATCCTATATATTGTGATTTTCGGTACTACACAGAAATTCAAATAATGTATTGATGGTACTCCTGTGCATAAAGTTGATCATATAAAATATCTTGGTGTATGGCTTATTACCAAACTTTCATCACACACTGGTCATGTTTTACATTAAAAGTCAGTCTTATCAGTGCTTTACATTAATCTTGAAATTGCTTTACATATAGTGCTCATAAACTTGTTTCTCAGTTTATACTGCCGACTTGTGACTATTGTAATTCTATATCAAAATTAGATTTTGCTGTGCTTAACATATAATAGACATCCTAGGATTTTTTTACTCATCACTCTACAATGTATGATGAACTTAAAAGGGTCATCTCTACATGAAAATATATTAGCTGACTTCAATTTATAGTCAAATAAACTGTAGCTATGTAAGTTTTTTACCTTGAAATATCAGTTTCAAAATCATTCTAATAATGACGAAAAGCTTCTGTCTCTTTCTCCCCATACTGAGCGTTACGAAAATCAGCAACAACAAAAAAAAGGTTTTATTAAATTGCTATCGGCAGCGACAAATGCATGTGCACAGCGATCCACTGTTATCACGACAGTGTTATATTTATGACATCTAATTACACTTCACTAAAGAAAATGACAGTGAATACGTCTAAATCAGGGGTCTCCAAACTCGGTCCTGGAGGGCCGGCGGTGTCCTGTAGAGTTTAGCTCCAACCCCAATTAAACACACCTGAACAAGCTAATTAAGCTCTTACTAGGCATACTACAAACTTCCAGTCAGGTGTGTTGAGGCAAGTTGGAGCTAAACTCTGCAGGACACCGGCCCTCCAGGACCGAGTTTGGTGACCCCTGGTCTAAATGATTCTTTTTAGATAGCGATTCAAAAGATTCGAGTCAAAATCCCCGCCATGCGCATGCGTGAACTCACTAATGAGCTCTAATGTGAGGATCGGATCATTACTGACTCGGATCTCTGAATCTCCTTCAGCAAAATGAACGAATCCTTATTCGTCGTTTCGTTTTCGTCACGTGACACCCGGCCAAACGGAATATTTATTTATGTATATATTTATTTTTATTGAACTTTCAAAATCACAGAATTCAACAGCAGGGTCTTGACTTATTTTTCACATTTACACATTTTGTAAGTACAAACTGAAACACAATTTTAATAAAATAAAGTACAATAAAATAAAATATAGAAATTAAAAGAGAAAGCAAAACATTGATGGGCATCACAAACATATGTCAAATTCATTTAGCAGAGACACAGTTCTTTGGGCTTTCGTTTTTTTTTTTTACTTTACAGATTCTAAATAAACTTTAAAGGCTATTTGATTAGTTCACCTCCAGAATCATTTCGTTCATAAACGAAGAAGAATGGACGAATCACTCTCTGAGACAACTCGCTACTTTTGAGTCAAGTAAACGATTCATTCATGATCGAGCCGTCGCTAAATGAGCAGACTTCCGCTTCCGGTGAGCCTAAAGTCCGCCCTCTGTGAAATGGGTTTGCTGGTGGGCTGTTGATTATGTTGACTCACACGTGTTAGGGGCTTTTTTGTGTGTTTTAAGAGACTTAAATCGAATCAGCGTTTATCGCCCTCCGTGCTTAATGTGAGATCGCTCTGTTTTTGACAGATTCTTCTTTCATTTGTGTTTGTTCATTTCGAAACTCCAGCAGCGTTAGCAGCCCGTCAGCTAACAGCAGCAGGGTAACACACCGGTCTGCTCTCATCTAAGGGCCACTGCACACTGAAATGTGACAAGTGCCTAGTTTACACAGACGTTTTACCTGCCTTTGAATTCAGCAAACCGGGTTTCTCTCATATTACGCGCTTTTTTTTCACGAAGCCGCATTACATACATCATGGGGGCTTACTTGTCTCAACCCAACACGGAGAAAACCACAGGCAACGGCGGGAATAAGAGCATGAACTTCGGCTTCGCGGCCATGCAGGGCTGGCGAGTGTCTATGGAGGTAAAACACACGGTTTCATTCCCTCTCTGTCGCTGCTTTGTGGACCGCTAATGATATCTGAAAATAAACGCGAGAGAATGACCTTTAGCCGGTGTTTGGATGTTTAATCTTCATATAAGTGTGACCGTGTTAGCTCTGTGCTGTGTTTTGTGTGGCAGGAGTGATGTGCGCGGGGTTTGGCGCCAGTGAGGTCCGAGTGACTCCCGCCACGAGCTCCTTTCTTACGGCTTGTTTTGTTTCATAGGACGCGCACAACTGCATCCCGGAGCTGGACGATGAAACCGCGATGTTCGCGGTCTATGATGGTCATGGAGGTAAGCTGGTAACGTTTATGGTCCACAACGCGTGTAAGAGATTTTAAAGAGAGAATTCACCCAAAAATGTCATGTCTGTGTTTCTCACATTCAGCGTCGCTCCAAACCTGTCTGCTACTTTTTTCACTTGGACAACAAAGATGTTTTTTTTTTTTTTTTTAGTAAAGCATGTTTGTCATGCCCCCAAAAGAACCATACAAATAGTCCATAAATCATAGTTTGGTGCAAGGAAAAGTCTTAAAGTGGTAGTTAACCCAAAAATTAAATCACTTCTCATCTGTATGACCTTTTGTGGAACCTAAATGATATTTTGAGAAATGTCTCTTTTCTTTGTCTGTACGGTGAAAGTCAATGGTCACCATTGACCATTGTTTGGTTACCAGTATTCATCAAATTATCACCTTTTATATTCCACAGATGGATGGAACAACATGAAGGTGAGCAAATGACAAATTGCAATGATACATTTTTTTGGATGGACTATTCCCTTAAAGGTATAGTTCACCCAAAAATGAAAATTGCCGTCATTTACTCACCCTCATGGTGTCATTATTCACTAAAAATCTCACCTGTATAATATTCTTGGATGAATGATCAATTTGATCATTTTGTTTAGTGATGGTCTTTTACTGCGTATCTCCAGGTGAAGAGGTTGCTTTGTATTGCTCCAAGTTTTTACCTGACATCATTAAAGAGCAGAAGGCGTATAAGGATGGCAAGCTGCAAAAGGTAACCCTTGCTGCACCTCACTCACACGGTTGTTTGTTGTCCTCGTCTGATTCTGACCGATATGAGTTGCGTCTGCTATGATCCTTTAATTGACACATGCTCGCAACTCTGTGGTATTTTGGTAGAGATGTGTAAATATGCAAATATGATCATTCAGATATGATTTGAAGGCCGCAGGAAATTGCTGTTTTATTGTCATTATTGTCTCTCATGTGACTTTCTGTAGTCTTAATTAGATTACATCATATGTGAAAATGGGTGTAATCACTGGCTACGTTTACATGCAACCAAATAATCCATTAGTAATCGGATTGACTGCTCAATCGGACTGAAAAGCCTTCATGTAAACACCTTAATCAATCTGAATTGAGCTTCGGTCAGATTGAAGGGGGTGGTTTATTCCTTTTCTAATACGATTGAGAGTGCATGTAAACATTCGATCGGATTGAAAACCGAAACTGAAAGAACTGCGCATGTGCAATGATGTAGAAATAGCGTAATGACGTATGACTCGCAAAATGAGCTGTTCTTCCTGTTGAATAAAGTGTTGTATAAATGAGTGTCTTGTCATTATAAAACTCTTTTCACTCAGCGACTGTGAAGTGGAGCAGGACAACGTCCCACCAGTCCTTGTTTCAGATTCTCATCCACAGACGACTGGTTTTGGGCACGAGGAGGGGCTTTTTACTGCGTGATAAATGTAATCAGCACGGCACAGTGGTTTATATGATCATTGCCACCAAATTATGACCAGAAATGGATAAATATTAAGTCTGCTGTTTAAAACAAATAAAGAAACGGTGTAGGAGAATGGTTGTCATGCACAAACAGTGGGATACTCTGTATATTCCTGCAAGTGTGCACATGTCAAAAAATCAACTCCGATTTCAAGCTTGTGATATATAAACGCACACATCAACCCGATCACTTTATTTAGCGTTCATGTAAACACTACATTCAGATGCATCAATCGGAAAGAATTCAGTCCGATTGAAACAAAAGTTGTGCATGTAAACATAGCCATTGTGTCTGCGCTGGTTGCTGTCATATCCCCAGGCTCTGGAAGAAGCGTTCCTGGCTATAGATGCCCGAATCACCACAGAGGAAGTCATCAAGGAGCTTGTTCAGATAGCTGGACGTCCTCGGGACGAAACCGAAAAAGTAGCAGATGAAGATGATGGTTAGTGTTGGGGTTGTATAAATGGCTTATTGATGTCATCAATACTTTAGATAAGTGTTTCTCTAACCTTTGAACTCCAGGGCCCCCTACTATCCACAACAATATTCCAAGGCACCCCTCCTGTCATTTACAGAAAATTAATGTCCATAGATTAAAATATTTAAAATTAAATCGTACAATTCCAGAAAATTTTAATTAAGAAGTATCTTGATTTGTAGTTGTTTTAGCTTGTTTTAAAGATTGTTCTGTCTTATTTTAAAATATTTAAAGTAATTTGGAAGCCTCATTGGAATATTTAAGATGCGTTCTAATGCTTTAGATCCTTTTATAAAAATTTTTGGTGTGTGATTTATAGTTTTCAATCTGTCTTATGGAGATAACTTCCCTTTTGTAAAGTAAATTTTTTTTAAATTTGTTCTTATTTTGGTGGCCTGTTTAATTAATGCAACATTAATACTTGAGACGTACTTTCTTTAAAGGATACAATTTCATTATATTTCTTCTTTTATTGATGCTAAGCAATGTTATTTTTGAATTTGTAATGATACTTCTCAATATATAAGTGACAAGCAAGTGCAATGTCGTGAGAGTTGCCGATAATGAGCTTTAGTTAGTATTTTGTCACCCAAGTTATAACATGCATGCAGTTTAAATGCTACAAATTAACGTACACCTTTCTTGTCAGTTGATAATGAAGAAGCAGCTCTGCTGCATGAAGAGGCCACCATGACAATTGAGGAGCTGCTTAGCCGCTTCAGACAGAACCAAAACAAAAATGCCAAAAAGCCGTGTCCAGGTGCCTCTAAAGAGTCTGTGGATGGAGAGAAATCTTATGCTGAGAAGACAATCAATGGTGAGACGGGAAGCAGGGCTTCTGAAACAGACAGCAATGGGAAGGAGAAGGCAGCCGGTGCTGGAGATGCGGCCGGAGGCTCCAAGATGAGGGCCTGTAGACGGGCGGCTGCATCCGGTGGGAGTAGTGGCTCTTCTGATGGATCTGCTGAGAAGTCTGTGTCGACTGGGGATGCTGGTCCTTCCTGCTCCTCATCTGCAGCTGCTGCTCCAGGAAGTGCCAAGTCCAAGTTCTTCGAGGACAGTGAAGAGTCAGAGGAGGGAGAAGATGAAGAGGATGGTAGTGAGGAAGAGGTGAGGGGACAAATCTAGCACATTCAGGACTAGGTTTGTGTAATGGCCAAGGATCTGGGTTGCTTGCATTGCAAGTTCAATCTCAAATACAGCTGATCTGGTAACTGGAGAGAAAAGTTATGTTTGTAATGGTTAAGTCAAGTTTTTGTATAGTGCACATTTTAAAGCAGCTTTACACAAAATTAATGTAATACCATAGCTTACTACACTACCATTCAAGTAGCTGATATGCAATAAATTTAAATACAAGACTAAAATTAAAAAGTTTGGGGTCAGTGAGATTTTAGTTGTTTTTGTTTAAAAAAATGAGTACTTAATGCAACTGAATAAAATAAGTATTCATAAAGTTGATCGGAAGAGACACTAAATGGGTTTCCATCCAAAGTTGCAAAGTAACATTTGCGAATAAGCACCGTTTCCATCCACAAGTCAAAGAGAACAAAATCGTCACTTCCTGATAAACTGGCACTGAATATCACTAAGAAAAGTAGGAGGAGCCACTGAATATAATGATTTTCATATATAATAAATGACTTGCGCCTCAGAGTGAGCAGACGAAACACAGTAAATGTGGTCATTGCTTTCAGAAAATTCAGCTTTGCATCACAAAAATAAATTACATTTTAAAATATTCAAATAGGTTACTTTAAGCTGTAACAATCCACCATATTAGTGTTTTTTTTATTGTATTTTTCTTAATCAAAATCTTTAATAAAAATATAAACTATATAGTGCACTTCCTGAATATGGCACAGTATATACTGTGTACTAAATGCTGTTTTCAAAATTTTTTCCAAAAAATGCTACTTTACACACGAGTGATATCTTTTTCTTTGTAACTTTTTTTTATTTTTATTATTATTATTATGGTAAATAGGACTGCAGTGAGGAGGACGCTGAGAACAGCAGTGAGAACGATGAAGAGGATGACACGGACGAGGGAGAGGAAGAGGATACAGATGAAGAGGAGGAAATGTGCTTGCCAGGCATGGACGGAAAAGAGGAGGTTAGCATGTTGCATGGCCTCTGAGATGTGGTTAATTGTGAAAAATGTAGTGTTTATTCATGAAATGCAGCTTGTGATAATGTTTCTGATCTCATTCTGTCTTCATGTTGTTCCTGTTCTTCGGAGACCGGTTTGCTATTATTTTTTTCTGCGGAACACAAATAGAGAATTTTTGGACAGATCATCCCCTCTGCTGTAGCAATCAAATTAAAATTTTGCTTAAAATTCTAATTTTGTGTTCCACAGCAATAAATAAATAAGCATACTATTTTGGGTGAACACATTCTTCCTCAAACGAATGCTCTGAAAACTTAAAATAAGTTGTGTAAGGAGTGGATCACATGACCATGTGCATAGTCTGTTTGATTGACTCTTCTTCTCTCCGTTATTCAGCCAGGTTCAGACAGTGGCACCACAGCTGTAGTTGCTCTTATTCGTGGGAAGCAGCTCATTGTGGCCAATGCTGGAGACTCCAGATGTGTGGTGTCTGAAAAGGGAAAGGCAGTGGACATGTCCTATGACCACAAACCAGAGGACGAGCTGGAGCTGACCAGAATAAAGAATGCTGGTGGGAAGGTGACGATGGACGGCCGCGTCAATGGAGGCCTGAACCTCTCCAGAGCGATTGGTAATGCTGCTGCTGCTGCTGCTTACTGGCTAATTTATCTTTGCAGATGTTTTATTTTGCACATTTCGTTTTTGGTTAAGAATCGTATAATAACAATAAATGTTCTTGTGTTTTCTTGAAGGCGATCACTTTTATAAAAGGAACAAGGCTCTTCCCCCAGAGGAGCAGATGATCTCTTCTTTACCTGATGTCAAAGTGCTGACTCTCAATGAAGACCATGAGTTTATGGTTGTTGCCTGTGATGGCATCTGGTAAGACTAATAACTCAAATATAACATGATTGTGTAAGTTGGATTTTTAGGGCTGTGTGATGTTTTGAATATTTACAATGTTTTTGTAAGTTGCAAGTTTTGTGTTCAATATATATTTGCTTGATTTTGGTAGTCATATAGGCTAAAATTATTATAAGCTAATGATTCAAGATCATTCACTTGGCTAACGTTCTTTGGTTTATTTATAATTACATTTTGCTTTGAGTTCTTGGATCTACCTTGTGCATGAAATTGACCTATCGGTAAGCCCCTCCCCTCGAACGCAGATGAGCCAATGGCAGTCGAGTATCAGTTGCACGGGGAGCGGAACTCTGACATCTTTAGGTTTCAGCGCCAAAGAGAAACATTGGAAGATCCGAAGCTCGCATCGGTTTAATGCCGTTTATGCTACAAAAATGGAAAAACGATGTGCCTAGGGTACTTGTAACACTAATTCCACGGGTATCCTGAGAGGATAGGCAATGTAATTTATTTTATTCCATTTCCTAAATCCAACCAAAACGGCAAAATGTCCCTAAGCATTCAGCCCCAATCACAATGAAGACGAAAACGTTAATTTTCTGGTTGTCATACTCTCATTAAGTTACACTTTTAATTTGCTCAAGCAGACCGTTAATGTCATCTTGTGCTTCAGCAAGGTATCTCCAGTGGTGTACTGTAACGAAGTAATAATACTTCGTTACAGTACTTACGTATTTTTTGGGCGTATCTGTACTTTAGAGTTTTTATATTTCAGGCAACTTTTACTTTTACTCCACTACATTTCTTAATTAAAATGTATACTTCTACTCCGATACATTTCCCCGAAGCATATTCGTTACTTACTACAAAATAGTCAGAAGTCCGAAGAACTGCAGGAAAGCAAGTTTGACGAATCAGTGGTCTGGCGTTTACAAGTTAGACTCCTAAAAACACCTTTGCTCATGTGCAAACAAGTGCGCGCACAACCGCGGATGATT